TTTTTATGTCTTTGTGTAAGGCGCGGTTTGGGAACTTTCGACTCATATTTTAGCTTTAAGTCTTTTTTCATAACTTGTTGCACGCATTGCCTAGTGATAGACAAATCTAATTCATTTCTTCTATGTCTGCAACTCATCCTCTCATTGGTAGCAAGAAGCTGAATATGCCGTTTTGTTCGGTTGTTAATAGTTGGTAAGCGGCCGCCTCTCTTATAACACCATATTTTTCGAGATATTTTAATAAGTTTATTATAGTATTCAGGTCTCTATAACCAGCAGCAGATATTTCGCCACTTTTCATCCCAGCAAAACTCATTCCAATAATCTTTCCGCACTCTTCACTTGAAAATTCCGTCCCATGCGGCATTTTTTATCTAAATTAATTAAAATAATAAGTATTTATTAATAAATAATAAGTTTTTTACTTACCAATTATTCTTTACTCTTCAATACTTTTAAAAAAAATCTTTATAATACACTTGACAACTTTATTTCCATTTACTGTTGACACTTCGAGAAGCAAAACAATTTTGCACATATAATTATTTTCTATGAAATTTGCTACCTATTGTTATTAATTATGATAACGGTACCACAAATAGTATACAAAAAAAACTCCATATATGGTCAGAGAAGTTAAACTCAACTACAGAATCAACTGTATATAAAAAAAATTAGTACCATTATTCTAAGAAGAGAATAACGAAAAACAAATTTTGCACATACATTAAGACTGAAAAGTTTTCGGAAATTCTCATTTAAAATTCGCGCGCTGTATATTTTTCGATATTTTAAGTTTATGTAGTTTGGCAGCACTGTCCTTAATTACTATGCCAAAAATGAGCGCGATCTGTCAGACAGTTCGTTTACGGCAGCTGTTGAAACCAGTTCCCCTCAGTAGTGCGTTGCGAAATGTCTTCGACGGTCGTACGACCGTCCTGAAAGGCTTTGTACCACTCATAAACTTGAGTTTTCGATAAAACTGATTCCCCATAAGCCTTTTGTAGCATTCGCAACGATTCTGCACACGAAATTTCGTTCGAAACACAAAATTTGATGCAAACTCTTTGTCCAATATTTTTTTCCATTGTTTTTTTCGCAACGCACTACTGAGGTGAACTGGTTTCAACAGCTGCCGTAAACGAACTGTCTGACAGATCGCGCTCATTTTTGGCATAGTAATTAAGGACAGTGCTGCCAAACTACATAAACTTATAAAATATCGAAAAATATACAGCGCGCGAATTTTAAATGAGAATTTCCGAAAACTTTTCGGTCTTAATGTATAATTATTTTACAGGGGTATCTGACTTAGTTAAAAGTCACTAAAAACGTTAGGGTAGGTAATATGACTGTCGATTATCGTTACCATACATAACCTATTTACCAGCA